TAATTGTTAATTATAGTTACTTGTTAAATTCATGCTTTATTCGTTACATGCCTTAATTGCTAAATGTTACCATGTCCCCGTATATTTATCTATTGTCTGTCTTTACTTGCTTTGTGATTTAGTATGTTGTTAGATAGCTACTTTTATATGCTTTATGACTTTAATTATGTAATTTCCCTTAATGTGTTTTATTTTGTGATACGCCGTAGTTGGTTGTAGCTTATACATGTATTTGATATTGTTTGGGATCGGGTTGTGTGCCACAACAGTTATTGATATTATTGTGTGGGATCAGATTGCACACCGCAACGATTGTTGTTGTTATTATTTCGGATCGAGTTGCACGTTGTAATGGTATTTCTATATTTATATTGTGGATCGAGTTGCGCGCCGCAATAGAGAAGACATTATTTGTTTATATATTTGTGGATTGGGTCGCGCGCCGCAATGGAGAATAAATTATTTGTTTATATATTTGTGGATCGGGTTGCCCGCCGCAATGGAGAAGACATATTTAACTATTTTAAGCGGTTGTTTTTCGTATCCGGGTTATATTGAGCTTTGATGTTATTCATAAGCCCTATATTATGTAATTTCTGTTTTAGTTTCCATGTTATATTTGTTTTCTTTGTTTTGTTGTTATTTCATTATATTCGTACATGTTTTAGTGAGTGCCTTGTTATATCCTCTTAACTACCTCGTCGAAGTTAGGCTCGACACTTACATAGTACACGGGGTCGGTTGCACTCATGCTACACTTTTGCACTTCTTGTGTTGGTCCCAGCAACAGTTAGAGGAGGCTTGCTCGGATTAGCTGATCACAGAGACTTGAGGTATAGCTACACGGTGTCCGCGATCCTGAAGTCCCCTTCCCTATCTAGTTTAATGTTTATCTTATTTCAAACAGTTGTACTTTCATTCAAACTTTGGTTGTAGTACTATTAGAATGCTCATGTACTTTTGACACCATATTTCGGGGTTTGATAGTCAGCGTTTGAAGTTATTATATCTATTTCTTTTTAAAACTCTACAGCTTTATTTCTTATTAAATTGCTTTTAAATTTAGTTTTAAAATGACTAATTATGTACTAATGTTGGCTTGCCTAGCAAGTGGATGTTAGGCGCCATCACGGCCCCGAGGTTAAGATTCTGGGTCGTGATATGGCCATCAATAGTTTTTTTAATTAGTTACTCCATGTGTGTTGTAGTGCTATGAAGCTTTTCACTACATCTTCTAGTCCATATTGTACTTTACCCCTACTATAAGATCTTTTTGGGAAATTTTCCCTAGATGGCTATGGTGCATGTCTAGGACTCCGGTCATCCGGAGTTCCTCCTATTGGTAAACTATGGTTCACTTGTTGAGGAAGATCAGTTAGTTGGTTTTTAATTTCAGATATTGTATTCATTTAAATAATAGTTAACAAGTTACGATCTAAAGCAAATCAAAAGAACTGTTGAAAAATCAGTTTTGTTTTGAAATGAATGCTAAATTGCTTGGGCACAATGGTGGGCGTCAAACTGTTAACCCAAAATTTATTTATTTGGCTAAATTGTTAAATTTTTAAAATTAGGTCACAAGCCATCATCTTACTTCACATGTACTGATCTTTGTGAATAGGGAATAGATAGGTAAATTAAGCAGATAATTGCAAATGAGAATAGTACCAAAGTTATAAAAGAGAGAGCTTCGTATTAATATTCTTTTGTAGGATGAGAACAACTGAATATGGAGCTCGGGCCAAATTTATGGGTGGACATAATACCGGTCGAACCGAAAAAACCAACCGAACCGTGAATTTCGATTTTCGGTTTCGATTTAATCGGTTATTCGGTCGGTGCACAGTTTTTAAATTTTTAAATTTTGGTTTTTCGGTGCGGTTTACGATTTTGATGTTTCGATTTTCGGTTAAACCGAAATTTTGGGTATTAGTTGAGAAAAATAGGTTTGAACATATGGGCTCTTTTGAGAGTTCAAAACTTATTACCCATACGAAGGCGGAAGCTCAATAGTCCAATACCCATTTGAAGCCCACCCAATTTACCCAAACCTAATTACCTAAGACTTAGTCTTACCGATACATTCCCATTTCCCAAACCTAAATCAAAAATTAGATTTAGGGTTCCTCTGTGCGACTGCTGCCTTCTTCCTCATCTCTGTGCAACTGCTGCCTTCTTCCTCAGCTCGACTGTGACGCCTTCTTCCTCAGATTAGTGTGACTTCTTCTGAGTTCTGAGTGCCTTTTCTCTATTCCTCAACTCATTTGATTTTGGTAAAAATGTTTTGTGTTGATTATTCCGCTAAGTTAACGTCAGCATGTAACTTTCTTCTATTGATCCCTTTCTATGCTACGTTATTTTGTTAAATAGGAACATGGACTTGACTTTCTGTAATTTTTCGCTAAGTTATTATGACGTTTCATTAATCTCTGAGCAATTTTCGGTAGCTGATGTGTTCTATTTGGACGTGAAATCCTGCTAGTGGATTAATTGTTATTTTGTTCATGTTGCTACTAGAAAAAGTAGTAGTGGGCTACTCTAAGAGGAATTGAATCCGATAATTTACAATAGAACTCTGTTCCAGTACAGCTAGATTGGTGTTTGTTTATTCCAGGATTCTCTAGATTAGAGTAGCTGAAAGCACTCAATCCGCATTAATGCGTCCAAACCATATAAGCCAGACTTGATTTAGAACAAAGTTTCTCGCATTTTATGACCACTGGAAGTAAATCCAAGATATAAAAATCTTGAACCATTAATAATCGAAAAAATAAACCACAAATAACCGAACCGAACTTTGAAAAAACCGCATCGAACCATAAATACTTTGGTTTGATTTGGTTATTAATATTACAAAATCGAAAACCGATAAACTGAATTTTACTTTCATAATAACCGACCGAACCGACCGCCGTCCACCCCTAGCTAGATTAATACAATAACAATGTGAGTATAAAGATTTCAATGGGGTATAGTTGGGTGAGAGGGAGTACTTATAGTATAGACTAATGTAACTGTTCCCAAAGATCACGCCTGCCTGTTATGAATATTAACGGCTTGTTCTAATATGTTATACTTAGTGGATTGTTAACTGTTCAGGAGTTAATGTTGAATCCCAAATACTTGAAAACTTGTTGATTTGACTTATCAAGGCACAATAATCATCTTCGGGTTGATACTAGTTGATCCTGGTACATATAATCCGGAAGGTTCCGCCTCCTTCTGGTTTAGTTCTTTTAAGAAGTTTTGTTTGACTTCGAGCTGACTACGCATCATTTGTCACGTGTGAACTATTGTATTGTTCACGTGATACATTTGTATTTTACCAATATATAATTCATGGGTCAAAAACAATGTTTATATTAATTGTCGATTAAATTTGTTGATTCACTTGATGCAAATATCAAAACTAAAATTTGATAATCACTGAGATTGCCAGAAACACAATTTTTTCATTAAAAAAAAGAAAAATGAAAGAAAGGTTAGCATGCAATCCTTTTGCACATTAGTGATAGTAATCTTGCCTAATCTCCCATTATTCTTTTCGTGACGAAGATATACAATTTATGCACGTGAGCACCCTTTTTTCTGTCAAGAAATGGGATTTAAAATTTATTTCAGTTGCTTTCTTCTTAGTTTTGTGTTTTCGTTATCATCCCTGTTAAGTTTCGTTCAAAACATAGCGTTGAAAAGTTGGTTTGAAAAAAGTACTAGCATGATAAGAAAGTTCTCTAATCATACGAAACTAAATGTGTGTAAAGATACACTAAAGTATTGAAAGAAAAGTGCAATGTCCAAGCAATGGTTTTATACATGCAAAAGTTTTGATATATCTAATTTAAAAACAAAAATAGTCAAAATCAAATTCAAAGGAAATTACTGTTAGAGATAAATACTACTTCTTGCAATGTTTAATTATACATGAAAGTCAATAATTTTTTAGAACTTCTTTTAACTGTAAAATTATGTAATTAAGTATAAAATGAGAGGTTAAAAGTTAAATTAGTTGTAAATAAAAATTACATTTTTTTTCAAAAGAAAAAAGAATTGCATAAAACAGGACAAAGGAAAATAGAATAAACAGGGATAGTAACGAAAAAAATGAAAAGAAAAAGGCAGAGAAATGAAGAGGAGAGTAATCATTAAGGTTGTGCCGAGTCTCAGAGAGATATAGGGTGTGTTTGGTATAACGGAAAATATTTTCCGTGAAAAATATTTTTCAAAAAAATGTTTTCTTGGAAAATAAGTAGTAATTTTATTCATTTTTTGGTGTTTGGTACGCAAATTAAGGAAAATAACTTCTCAAGAATATTCATAAATTATATATAATTTAGATACAATAAACACGAAACCATAAACTTTCGAACCAACAACCTTCCGAACCCACAAATTTCATAAACTTCTGAAAAGTTAAACTTTCGAACCCGCAAACTTTCAAACCCGTAAACTCTATAATTTCTAAACCCGCAAACTTCAAAACACATAAATCTCCGAACTCATAACTTTGAAACTCGTAAAATTTCGAACCTACAAATTGAAAAATAAAAAAATTAGAACTGAAAATATATAAAAAAAATATTTTTTGCGGGGGTTGATGCAGAAAATAGAAAATTAAAAATACAAAAAAAAAATTATTGGGTAAAGGTGAGTGAGTGGTGCAGAAAAATAAAAAAATAGATAATAGAAAAATAAAAAAAATAAAAAAAATATTTTTTGCGGGTTGTGGGGTGGGGTTGGGTGGTTCAGAAAAATAAAAAAATAGAAAATTAAAAATATCTTTTTTTTTTTTTTTTTTTTTTTTTTTGCGGGGATGAGGTGGGTGAATGGCACAAAAAACGAAAAAAGAACAAAAAATTAAGATTGAAGTTTTTGAAAAATATTTTACTAATTTTTTCTAGGAAAATTATTTTTCTCTAATTATAGAAAAATGTGTAAAAATGTTTTCCAAACTATTTTGGATCATCATACCAAACACAGCCCAGAATCTCTCACCTTAATTAGATGTTTGGAATTAGGGCTAATTAGTGAAGCTTACGCAATATCAAATGCAGATAGAGACTTAACCGGTGAAGGCAGCAGAGACCGACGAGTCACGTAAGCAGCAGCATGATAATACTACTATAAAAGCCAATATTCTCTCTCCTCCCTCGCCTCCATCACTTTCAAGCGCCTTTTGCATATTGAAGAAGAAATCTCAGGTTTGTTTGTCTTTTTTCTTCCTCTGTATAAAGCTGATTCGTCTTTCGTTGTGTATGTGTGTGTGTGTGTGTGTTCCTCAGATCTGACATTTTCCTCTCTGATTTCGTTTTCAGTGCATCCATCTCGTTCAGTCACCAATTACGAGACGATACGACAGAACAAAAGACAAGACTCGTCCCGATTTGATTCACAGGTTAGCCCTTTTTTGCTCATAATAATTACATACACGTCCGTTTATTTGATTGCATTATCTATTGCTGAGTGGATTTAGTTGTTTCAGTTTTGCCCTACTTTGGTCGGTGGATGCCACAGCATTCATGTGATTTAAACTTTCCTATTTCCTTTTTGTTTTATTTGTCAGCTGATTTCATTATTGGCCCTGACTTGGTGGGGTTGAAACGTAAAAAGGTCTTGTTTTTGGATGTCTGCAAGACCCACCCTAGTGTATTTGGGAGAATTCGCCATTAAATTTGCTGCCTATTGTTCCAGGATAAAGTGAGTGAAGGCTTAAGTCTTAACCAATAAGCTCGAGCTTCCCACGGGTGCGCAAAAATGCTCTTTGGATGGTCTATCTGTGAATGATATTAGGGATTTGATTTACTTATTGAGGTTTTAGTTTCATTCTTTCCAATGCCTTTCCGGCGGTGGAAGTATTTATGACTTCCGTCAAGCCATTGCTGTTACTGTCTGAGCCTTCTTTTGAACCAGAACCTCGTCCTTACGATCAACACTATTCTTCTTCTCTTGTGAGTAAAAAGGACTTTCATTCAGCCGAGCTTCAGTCTCACAAGCCACATTCATCAGAATCCCCCCGAAGGATAGGAAACGCCTCGTATCGTGGAGTGGAACGGAGGACCATTGGCATGACAAAGCAGCTTTTGAAATATCCCGTGATTCATCTAGGGTGGCTTCATCTGGAGCAGCATCCACCCGTGATTCGTCTTTGTCTAGGGCTTCTTCTCGCGTCCAGGATAAGCTGAACACATCTCAGAGGCTTCTTCAGAAAAGCATGCAGTTGGAGGATAGCTTATTACATGGAAGTAACCCTAGGTTGATCCATGTTAATGATCCAAAAAAGACTAATGATAAGTTTGATTTCTGTGGAAATGAGATCAGAACTAGCAAGTATACAGTAATAACTTTCTTGCCGAAGAACCTATTCATTCAGTTTCATCGGGTTGCCTATTTATACTTTTTAGCTATCGCTGCTCTGAATCAGCTTCCACCTCTTGCTGTATTTGGGAGAACTGTGTCTCTGTTTCCTCTTCTGTTTGTGCTTTCTGTGACAGCTATAAAAGATGGTTATGAGGATTGGCGGAGACACAGATCAGATAGGAACGAGAATAACCGGGAGGCTCTAGTACTTCAATCTGGTGGGAAGTTTCAGTTAAAAAGATGGAAGACAATCCGGGCTGGTGAGGTTGTGAAGATCCTTGCTAATGAGACTATTCCCTGTGACATGGTGTTGTTAGGAACCAGTGATCCTAGTGGAATTGCTTATATTCAGACAATGAATCTTGATGGTGAATCAAACTTGAAGACAAGGTATGCTAGGCAAGAAACAACTTCATTAGTGTGTGAAGGGGAGACGATTTCGGGAGTTATTAGATGTGAACAACCTAACAGGAACATTTATGAATTCACGGCCAATATGGAGTTTAATGGGCATAGATTTCCGCTCAGCCAATCGAATATCATATTGCGTGGTTGCCAGCTGAAGAACACAGAATGGGCAGTTGGAGTAGCGGTTTATGCTGGGCAAGAGACTAAAGCTATGTTGAACAGCACTGCGTCTCCATCTAAAAGAAGCAGGCTGGAAACATATATGAACCGGGAAACCCTTTGGCTGTCTATTTTCCTTTTTGTGATGTGCTTGGTTGTAGCAGTTGGGATGGGTCTATGGTTGAAGCGCCATGAGGAACAGCTTGATACCTTGCCTTATTACAGAAGAGTTTACTTTGAAGAAGGAAAACATGGCAAACAGTATAAGTACTATGGGATTCCTATGGAAACATTTTTCTCCTTTCTGAGTTTGATCATAGTTTTCCAGATAATGATACCTATATCTCTTTATATCACCATGGAGTTAGTTCGCTTGGGACAGTCGTATTTCATGATTGGAGACAGGCATATGTATGATATTAACAGTAATTCTAGGTTTCAGTGCAGATCCCTAAATATCAATGAGGATTTGGGTCAGATTCGCTATGTTTTTTCAGATAAAACAGGAACACTTACCGAAAATAAGATGGAATTCAGAAGAGCTAGTGTGTGGGGAAAAAGTTATGGGAGATCCCTTTCTGCTGCTGATGCATCAGTAAACACAGATATTGGAGGTATGCTAACTGTATACTATATTTTTCTAAACATAGTTTGGATCTTTGACTTGTATAACTGGATGGGTTGGATCTTTGAACCTGCATAACTGGAGGATTATCATGATCAGACAATGTAACGAAAATTTTGTAGAATGCTTATGTATTTTCCCTATTAGGTACTTCCAGAAATAAGAAGCAGGAAAAAGGGTACAAGAAGGAAAAGTAATTAACAGGAAAACTAGAAACGGAAAAGTGAAGTCAGTCCATTTGTGCAAACATGCAGAAATTGTTAGTTTTAATGTTGTTAATATCTGATGATTCTTGATGTCACTGTTTCGTCAGATGGCTTATGCTTCATTCTCTTGACAGTACTGTCCTTTTGTCTCAATGAAATGCTTGGAATATTTTTCATTGCAGCTTCTGCTGATTATAATATTTGTTGGCGTGAGTCACAGTTATAGAATGTAGACTGCTCAACAGTGTTAAGAGAAAAATTTGTAACTTTGCCTATCTGCCAAGAAGAATTATATGTACCTGATGTAGTCGGATTGGATCTTTCTTGAATGCTATTGCCGTCACATTATGGTTTATTAGATACCCAAATGAGCTTATTGGCTGTGAAAGCACACTTATGCAATTTTTGCATGAATTTATCATTTATTTAGTAAGAGCTTTTTTATCATTGTCATTCATTAGTGTGTGTTCCCACCCTCAGATACCAAGCAGTTAATTTATTTAACAAGAGTTGATATTACACGGCGACAATGAGATTTAAATTTATTTTGTTCTCATTGTTTGGATTTATTAGTTTATGACACTACAAAATGTATTCCTATTCCATGTAAGATGTGTTAAGCTGCTTCACTGTCTTTGCTTGCTCATTCTGATGCACTCAATCTTTATTTATTTTTATAAGTCTGATGCACTCAATATTTATTTCTTTACATTATTGTAACTCCTTCAAAAATTATGTCCTGAAGTGAATAATTGCTGCTATATGTTTCATATTGTAAAATGTTGATCTCCTGCACGGTTGATAGTACATTGCTACTTTAACCAATGGAATACTCTCTTTTCATAAGTGCCTTTTCACTTATTTTTTAGTTATTCTTTTTCTCGTGTAGCATCTATTTTGCTATATCTTGTCAACCTAAAACGGTGTATTTGTCCTCTTGTATTACCTACATAAGCAACAGTCATGGTTCCCTATGCCTTATGGGGGGTTTTCTTTCTCTTCTCGAAAGAATAATCACTAGTTTGACCATAAGTTATCTGCAAGAACAGACTGTTTAGTTGTGTTTGTAGTTGCTGTTCTTTTTGTATATTCTAACGTCCATAATTCCGCAGTGTAGAGCATGTAATATGTTCATGCATGGCTTTGTATATCAACTGATAATAAGGAGCCAGCTGCATTCTTTGTTTGGTTCTTCCTTTTGAGGTTTTGTTTTCACTTAAATATGTTTGTGCACCGAAGTAAATAATTGTTCTTGTAATGATGTGCAGAAGAACCAATCCAACATCCTTCGAGTCGAAGAAAGTTAACTATCAAATCAGAAGTTCCAACTGATGTTGAACTAATGCAATTGTTACATGCCAAGCTAGACGGAGAAGAGAGGATTGCTGCAGACGAGTTTTTTCTGACATTGGCAGCATGTAATACCGTGATTCCTATTCCTACCAAAAGTTCTTCTAGTGGTATACAGAACAATGTGGACGACACTGACATCACCATTGAGTATCAAGGTGAATCTCCTGATGAACAAGCACTAGTAGCTGCTGCATCTGCTTATGGGTATACACTGTGTGAGCGGACATCTGGTCATATTGTGACTGATGTCAAGGGTGAGAAACTAAGGTACATGACTGTTTCACTTCATGTTTATTGTTTGGTGCTAGTTGCCCTAGGGAATCTTTTAGAACTTGTCAATGAAATAGTATTGATTACTATTGTAAGTGTTAGTGATGCATGCTATCTATAGCATTGTGACTTTTCCATCCACATTCACACATTGGTTCCTTCTCTTGCTTTCCTCTTGTTAATTTTGGTAATTTGCTTAAGTATAACTTCTTAGGCGTTGGAAATGCGGACTAATTTTTGGCTGGTGCAGGTTGGATGTCTTAGGACTTCATGAGTTTGACAGTGTGCGTAAAAGAATGTCTGTTGTTATTAGATTCCCAAATGATTCTGTAAAAGTTTTGGTCAAAGGGGCTGATACTTCAATGTTTAGCATTTTAAGCAAAGAGCATGAAACTCATGAACACATAAAGAATACCACTCATACTCATTTGAATGAGTACTCCTCTGAAGGACTGCGAACCCTTGTGGTCGCTGCAAGGGACCTTACAGGAGAAGAACTTGAGGAGTGGCAATGCTTGTATGAGGATGCTAGTACAACTTTGAATGACAGATCAGCAAAATTACGCCAAACAGCATCTCTAATCGAGTGCAATTTAACTCTACTTGGCGCCACCGCAATAGAGGACAAACTACAAGAGGGTGTACCAGAAGCTATTGAGTCTTTGCGGCAAGCAGGAATAAAGGTTTGGGTTCTTACTGGAGATAAGCAAGAAACTGCAATTTCAATTGGTTTGTCTTGCAAACTCTTGACCTCTGACATGCACCAGATCATCATTAATGGCTCTTCAGAAAATGAATGCAAAAGGTTATTGTCAGACGCCAAGGCCAAATATGGCGTGAAGCCCGCAAGTTGTGATAATCGGATCTTAAAATTGCAGAGAGAAGCAGAAAATGGTTATCATGAAATTCCAGAGGGCACAAAGTCATATAAATTACCGCAGCAGCTTGCGGGAGAGGAAGGAATTTCTGTTGGACCTCTAGCACTCATAATTGATGGGAATAGTCTTGTGTATATCTTGGAGAAAGATCTTGAGTCTGAGGTAATCATCCTTTCTAAAGCTTCATTCTTGATGATAGTCATCTTGTTGGTTCCTTATTTTGTTTAGAAAAAGAGAGTATATATCTTGTTTACACATTAGCCTTTTACCTTTCGATGTACATTGAGAGCCATTATTTGTGATTGTCATCCTGTCACAGCTCTTCGATCTTGCGACTTCATGTAAAGTTGTGCTTTGCTGTCGCGTTGCCCCTTTGCAGAAGGCTGGAATTGTTGATCTAATAAAGAGCCGCACTGATGATATGACACTAGCCATAGGTGATGGTGAGTTAGCTATATATTATTAGGTGTTTTCTGCATATGTTAAATGATATATATATTGTCAGAATTTTGTCCGATGCGAAAAGAGCTTGTTTGTATGAATTATATAGATGAGATTTTGTGGTCATCTTTGGGGATGTTATGTTTTTAAGGTTTTTCAAGTGCATGCACAACTGTTTTCCTGGTCTAATTTTGAAACTTCTCAGGGGCTAACGATGTTTCAATGATCCAAATCGCGGATGTTGGTGTTGGAATATGTGGTCAAGAAGGGCGCCAAGCTGTGATGGCATCAGACTTTGCTATGGGACAGTTTCGATTTCTGAAGCGTTTGCTTCTTGTGCATGGACATTGGAATTACCAGCGTGTTGGTTATTTGGTTCTTTACAACTTCTACCGCAATGCTGTTTTTGTTTTCATGCTTTTCTGGTAGGCTTCTTCTCCTTCTAACTTTCTGTTACAGATCTTTCTATAGGATATCAGTGTTATCAAAAGCAAAAAGCGCAAAAAAAGCTCTAAGGTTTGTTGGGGCTTTAAGCGCAAATCGCAAATAAAGCGTGGGCTTTAAGGAAGAAAGGCGCAAATGGAGAAAAACTACAAATATATATGTGTAGTCCAAGAGTAATATCTATAAGCATGAATACCAAATATATGGACAAAGAAATTGAAGAAAATTTACGATAAAGTGAAATATCAATTGTTTAATATCGCGTCTTTCGGATTACGCTCGTTAGCTAGGAAAAGTATGCCTTAGAGCCTTGATGACAACACTGAAGCGCCTGTTAAGCAAGGTAAAGCGCTCAACATATTTTGAGCCTCTCTTCAGGGCGTAAGCGCGCTTTAAGCACGCCTTTGATAACACCGTAGGATATTTGTGCAAAAATCCCCCCCTCCCCAAAGTCCCCAAACAAATGAGTAAGAAAGGTTAAAGAAAAAGAAAAAAAGAACACATCTGAGGTCATGTACATCACAACCTGGAAAAGCTCCATGGAAATGTCATCTGCAAACAAGGGCTGGGGCTTCAGTGCTGCTATAAGCTCTTGATTTAAAGTTATAAATATGGTACATCTTGTGGGAAATTGAAAAAGGAATAATAGTGGCAGAGTTCCAGTGAGATCTCACAGGTAGCTTTCTGCTTAAAAGGGTACCAGGGGAAGTGGCAATATTTTGTTTAAGTGGTGATTTGAGTGATAAGCGGGGTGGGCATACATATGTGTTATGTGTAAAGTGTAAAATAGTGTATAATGGCCTGTGGGTGTCGAGAATTCCAGGGAAGTGACGATATCTGTTCAGATGGTGTGTGAGGCAATTCTAAAAGCTTGCAACCAACAAAGGGGAGGAAAGTTTAGCTGTTTCAGACTTTCAGTACATGTAAGGAGTCTGGTCAAACATATCAATCATGTATTGTCAAGCTTTATAAGACTTTGAGGTTGCTGTCCCAGGTAATTGGTGTGAGCCAGTTTATGCTAGCTGGCAGTCGAGTCACATTTAGAGGACAATGAAAATATATCTTATTTGTATGCATTCTGGAAACCTGAGCTTGGTTTACTAAATCCGCTATTGTTATCATGCATTATAGTTACTATGGTTTGAATTTCTTCTCATATCTCCTAGAATGTGATTTGCAGTTTGAAAAAACACAATATGAAACAGGTATCTGAACGTATTTGTCCTGTAATCTGTTGTCTGTAGGTACATATTGTGCACAGCTTTTTCTGCAACTTCTGCATTAACAGATTGGAGTAGTATGTTTTATTCTGTCATCTATACTTCCGTACCTACAGTAATTGTTGGTATTCTGGACAAGGACTTAAGTCATAAGACACTACTTAAGTATCCTAAACTCTATGCTGCTGGCCACAGACAGGAAAGTTACAATATGAAACTCTTCTGGGTCACCATGATTGATACAGTTTGGCAGAGCCTTGTTCTTTTTTATGTACCACTATTCACTTATCATCAGAGCGATGTTGACATATGGAGTATGGGTAGCTTGTGGACAATTGCAGTAGTGATCCTTGTCAACATTCACTTGGCAATGGACATACAGCGCTGGGTAATATATACTCATATGGCAGTGTGGGGGTCAATTATTATCATGTATGTCTGTTTGGTGGTGCTGGACTCTATACCTGTCTTCCCTAATTATGGGTTAGTATTAACGCTGAAGTCCTAATATATTACATCTAAACGTTCTTTACATTTAGATTAAGAGGTCTATGATGTAACATAATTTTTCTGTCTTCTGCAGTACAATTTATCAGCTGGTGAAGTCACCTACGTACTGGCTCTTAATTTTGCTTATTATAGTTATGGCTCTGCTTCCTCGCTTTATTCTCAAAGTTATGCACCAAATTTTCTGGCCGTCGGACATCCAGATAGCTAGAGAAGCAGAGATATCGAGGAAAAGACCTAGCCATTCTAGGTCTAGATCAGGTCACGGTGAAAGCTAATATGTGCTGTCTACATTGCCAATCACCCAATTAGATATAACTTCCGTTGGGTTTGCCTGGTGCTTGGCTTCCCGTCGTATTCAGGTTTAGAAGTTGCAGGTATGTCACCACTCCCTAACAAGGGAATCGAGCATTTAACTATTTACGATGTCTCCCACGGGGATGGAAATCAAAATCGGGCAGGATTTGCTCAATCAAATTCGATCTTACCCGATCTAAGGTTTACCATCTCTCTGTCCTCGTGCATCTTTTCAAATTGGCCAAAGGAAAATCAAAAGAATGCTTATAGTGTATCCATTACCGGATAAAACTACCTTTTCTTGTAAAAAGATAATCTTTCCATTGTTTAAAAGGAAAAAAAATAAAATAATTGTTAGGTGCTTTTAGAATGGAAATGACAGTTAAAAAGGGGTCAGTATTTTAGGGAAGATATCCTTCTCATGATGTGAAACTTACCGATGCCATTTTCCATCCCCTATTTTTGTCATGCTGCACCCCCGAGTTGTCTCTGATATAAGAGCAGAGAACTAGTCTTTCGAGATAGCGCAAAGTGTTTAGGACAAAGGTTGCTTAACACTAACATATCTCGCTCATGCTTCAGATGAGGTACACACATAAGAAAAGATCTGGTGGAGTCACCATTTGACTGAAAGAAAAGGGAAGAGATGTTGACAATATTGGGCCTCAGCCACATTAACATTTGATTTGAAGACATACCCGGCCCATTTGTATAGTTACTGGCCCAGTTGTATTAAGTGGCCCATCTGTATTTTTCATTTGGGTGTATTGTATATGTGTAATCAGAAGTTTCTAAACACAGTTGAGGTCAATTCATTTTTCTTTCTTTCGGATATTTCCACTCCTCCTTTTCTCTCTCTTTCTCTCAGATTAGGTTTCATATTCTTCTCACTTCTCTCTCGGTTATGGGTTAATTTGTCCACATTAACATGGTATCAGAGCCTAGAATCGATCGATTCTAACTCCGCTCTATCGATTCTAACTCCGCTCTATCGATCGATTCTAACTCCGCTTAGCAACAATTTTTTTGGGTTCGATTTTTCTGTGAATTGTTTTTGAGCGATTTAGCCTCGATACAAGTTCTTGTTATGCGATGGTTTAGCAGGAACTTTTCATGATATTTCTGAGGTAAAATTTTGGTGGTTCGAGATCTGTGTTCTCTGGTGGTTCGAGGTCTACCGATTGGATGTATGTTGCTGTGTTTTTCGGTTAATTTCAAGGCCTTACTTCTTTAGGTTGTAGAGCAAGACGGTAATCTCTATTATTAACCATTGTTCACGCTCAGTGTTGACAAATTCTGTCAGTTGCTTACATTTTGTAAAATATACCTAATTAGGGTTTTACCATGGGTAGTCCTGATGTTAGCTCAACTTCTACTGCTGATGGGTTTGATGACTTTACTGTTTCCCCTTCTCACCCATTTTATGTTTATCCCTCGGATAATCCAGGTACTCACCTGGTATCCCCACCTTTTGATGGTAGTGGTTTCGTTATTTGGCGTAAAAACATGCTGACTGCATTGTCTGCTAAAAACAAGTTAGGTCTTATAACTGGTAGAGTCCCAAAGGCCCAATTCCGTTCCCCATACTATCAGTTCTGGGAACGATGTAATGACATGGTCATTGCATGGATAACAAATTCATTGTCTAGAGATATAGCCAATAGTGTGATGTGTTTTGATAATGCCAAGGATATGTGGGCTGATATTAATGAAAGGTTTGGTACCTCAAATGGCTCCAAATATATTCAAATTCAGAGGGATGTTAGTGTTACATCTCAAGGGTCTTTGGACATTGCCACTTATTTCACCAAACTAAGGGGTCTCTGGGATGAACTTAGTACTGCATATGTAGGACCAGTTTGTTCTTGTGAAGCTTTGCCTAAATTCATTGAAGAACAGAAAATGTACCAATTTCTTAGTGGGTTAAACGAGTCCTACTCTACATGCAAAAGCAATATCCTGATGATGCCATCTCTCCCTTCTTTGAGCAAAGCCTATTCCATGCTTCAACATGATGAGAAGCAAAAAGAAACTTCTGCTCCTCTTCCCAGCTTCTCTAATGATTCTGCTTCGTTCAATGTTTCAACTGGACATATGAATTATCATAGGGCTTTCCATCAACGGGTACAATTTGACTCAAAAATAGGTTCTACTTCCATCTCAAATCTTTCTTGTAAGTATTGTAAGAAGACTGGACACTGTTGATAAGTGCTACAAGCTCCATGGCTTTCCCCCTGACTTCAAATTTACCAAGAACAAGAGGTCTGCTGCATGTGTTCAGTCTGAGGCTCCTCTTCCCGATTCTGTCCCTTCTAGTCATGGTCCTTCTGAAGTTCCTGGTCATGGATTCAGTAAAGAACAATATCAACACCTTATGAATTTGTTCCAGCAAGTTCACACCTCTCCTGCCTTCCACCATGAGAATAATGTTGTTGACAATATTGGTTTTGCAAATTTTGCAGGTGTGTACAATCACCCTGAAGTACATTCTAGTTCTTTTCATACATGTGCTGTTTCAACTTTAGGTTTAAACCCTTGGATCATAGATTCTGGTGCCACCAATCACATGACACCACATAAACATCTTCTACACAATTTTCAGCCATTAGTTTCTCCTTTTCTGATAACTTTACCAAATGGATATAAAGTTAAAGTTATATCTACTGGATCTTTAGTCCTTAGAACAGATATGATATTACATAATGTTATTTTAGTTCCTTCTTTTCTTTTCAACTTGATTTCTGTGCACAAATTGCTTCTTCAGTTTCAATGTCTTGCAGTCTTCAGCAATTCTACTTGTATTTTACAGGGCCTTTCTAGCCTCTGGAAATTGGTAAGGCTGCAAATGGACTGTACTTCTTGCATCCAGCTGATCCACAACTTTCTACTCCTGTTCCTTGTGTTTCTAATTCTGTTCATAGTAGTGTTTCTGCTCCTGTTTTCAATTCTTCTGAAACTTCTGTAATTCATAGTTCCACTTGTAATCCACCTACTGTTGCTAATAAAAGTGATTTGTTTTGGCATCAAAGGTTGGGTCATATTCCTTTTGCCAGAATGAAATCTATTTCTTTCTTGTCTGATAAAATTTCATCTAAACAACCATTCTTATGCACTGTTTGTCCTATGGCTAGACAACAGAGATTACCATTTCATGATAGTACTATCCATTCATCTGTTCCTTTTCAACTTGTTCACATTGATATTTGGGGTCCCTGCAATACCTCCACTTACAATGGCTTTAGATATTTTCTGACTCTAGTTGATGACTTTACTAGAGTGACTTGGACTCACCTTTTATCTTGTAAAAGTAATACTCTTTCAATCCTTAAAGCTTTCCTCCAACTAGTCAAAGTGCAATTTAAGTCTACTATTCAATGTTTCAGGTCTGATAATGCATATGAATTAGGCAGTAGTACTGCATCTCAACAATTTTTCACTGATAATGGGATTCTTCACCAAACTACAATTCCACACACTCCACAACAAAATGGGGTAGTTGAAAGAAAACACAAACACTTATTAGAAGTGTCTAGAGCCCTCATTTTTCAGTCCAAGCTTCCCCTCAGGTTTTGGGGTGAGTGTGTTCTCACTGCCACTTACATTATCAATAGGATTCTTTCAACTAGTCTACACAATATATCTCCTTTTGAAAAATTAAATGGTACTGTTCCTACTTATGACTACTTGGAAATCTTTTGGCTGCTTTTGTTATGCTGCCTGTCCTAGACCTGGTAGAGATAAATTTCAGTCCAGGTCCATTTCTGTTGTATTCTTGGGGTATCCTTGTGGTAAAAAGGGCTACAAATTATTAAATTTGTCTAATCATTATGTTTTTTTTCTCTAGGGATGTGGTCTTTCATGAGCACATATTCCTTTACCATTCTTCTTCTTCCCCTACTTTTCCTCCTCCACCTGATTTTGTTGACCTTCCTCCTCCCTCTAATGTGAACACTTATTCACCTGTTCATGTTGATCCTCCTACACTTTCCCCCACTTCCATCACTTCTGCTGTTGTTCCTCCTTTCACCACTTCTTCTCAGTCTTCTCATTCCTGCCCTCTAGTTCCTGAAATTAGGAAGTCTAGCAGAACTGTTATTCCTCCAGCTTACCTTAAGGATTATGTTTGCACATCTGTCATCCCTTCTCCTATTCCTGTTCCTTTAACCACCAAGGTGTCTACTGTTGATTTGCATATGCATGAACCTCAATTTTATCAACAAGCTGTCTCTAATCCCGCTTGGCAGAAGGCCATGACTAAAGAATTTCAGGCCCTTGATGCAAACCAAACTTGGGATATTGTTCCCCTTCCTCATAAGAAACCAATACCTTGTAAATGGGTGTATAAGATGAAACAGAAATCTGATGGCACTATTGAAAGATATAAAGCAAGATTAGTGATTAGGGGAGATACTCAAAAAGAAGGGATAGACTATACTGAGACCTTTTCACCAGTTGTCAAACATACCACAATTCGATGTTTACTTACCTTGGCTATTAAAAGAGGCTGGACTGTTTTCCAATTGGATGTTAATAATGCATTTTTGCATGGTGACCTCCATGAGGAGGTTTACATGAAGATCCCTCCTGGTCTTGTGGTATCTGCACCTTCCTCTTCCTCTCCCTTGGTTTGCAAACTCAAAAAATCACTTTATGGACTCAAGCAAGCATCCAGACAATGGTTTGCCAAATTATCTGAGTCTTTGATCTCTAGAGGATATACTTCTAGCAAGAATGACTATTTTCTCTTCACTAAGTCTTTTGGTTCCTCCTTGGTGGTGATTGCTGTCTATGTGGATGATATTTTACTAGCTAGTGATGATGTGGGTGAATTGAATTCTCTGAAGTCTTTCCTGGATGACACTTTCAAGATAAAGGATCTTGGGAATGTTCATTACTTCCTGGGTTTAGAAATTACTCCTCATTCGCAGAGCTACCTTATGTGCCAACAGAAGTACACTTCTGACCTCCTAGCAGAATTCCATTGTGAAAATTTCACTCATGTTTCCACCCCTTTGGATCCCAGTGTGAAATTGGTTGCTGATATGGGAAATTCCATTTCTGATCCTAGCACCTATAGGAGATTGGTTGGCAAGCTCAATTTTCTCCAACACACCAGGCCTGGCATTTCTTTTTCAGTCCAATATCTCAGTCAATTCTTACAAGCTCCACATGTTGCCCATATGTTAGCAGCTCTTCATGTGTTGAGATATCTCATGAATGCCCCTGACCAAGGTATTCTTCTATCTGCCAGTTCTGATTTATCCTTTTTAGCATACTCAGATTCAGATTGGGCTGCTGTCTCTCGAAGATCTGTCTCAGGTTTTTACATCACTCTTGGGGGCAGCCCTATTTTCTGGAAGAGTAAGAAACAGCCTACTGTGGCCCTTTCTTCAGCTGAAGCTGAATATAGGGCATTGAGAATGGCTGTAACTGAGATTTCTTGGCTGGTGCGCTTACTTGATGATCTTGGGTTACAGATTTCTTGGGTTAAACTCAAAGCCAAAGCGTGATGATTAATTAGTGGAGAATGCATGAAGACAATCTGGTTGAGGCAGAAAAGTCGAATAAAGGCATCGGGATGGATCTTATAATTGTTTGTTGATACTTAGTTGGGATGTTTTCACAGAGGTAAAAATGATTGTTAGGTGAAATAGTAATTATATCCACATAGAAGATAGAGAGAGAAATGAGGACCGAAAAACAAAGGGAGAAAGAAATACTACAAGTGTATAATAGTTTCTTGTAAAGCTCGGGCATCCGTACTCTTTCAACAAATTGAAGGAGAAAAAGTTGTTCACTGAAGTACTGAAATGATGTGAATTATTTACTCAAGG